GTAATAATCTGAACAATAAAGATTTACTAAAAATTAAATAAATAAATAGAAAACAAAAAATAAAATTTTGGGTGGCATAGCAGTTTGATCTAAGCTGTAGAAAAAAATACAAAGGGACAGCAAAATGGGGAGACAAAGAAATAATCACCAAAGGAAAGCAAAAGGGAATCACCATCAAAGGAAATAAATGAAATGGAGGCAAGTAATCTGTCTGATAAAGAATTCAAAGTAATGGTTATAAGGATGCCCAAACATCTGAGTGAGAATTACAAGCAACTCAATGAGAATTATAAGGAGCTGAACAAGAAATACACCAGTATGAATGAGAATCAAGAGGAAATGAAGAATGACATACCTGTAATAAAGAATACCCTGGAAGGATTCAACAGTAGACTAGAGGAAGCTAAGGACAAAATCAGTGAGTTAGAAGATAAGGTAGGAAAAAACACCCAATCAGAGCAGCAATTGGAAAAGAATTTAAAAGCAGGTAGAGAATTTAAGGGAGCTCTGGGACAACATGAAATGAAGCACCATCCTCATAATAGGGGTACCAGAAGGAGAAGAAGTTGAGCAAGGAATAGAAACCCTGATTGAAGAAATAATGCCAGAAAACTTCCCTGACTTGGGGAAGAAAAAAGTTACACAATTCTAGGAAGCACAGAGAGTCCCAAACAATATGAACTCCAAAAGACCTACTCCAAAACACATCATAATTAAAATGGCAAACGTTAACCTTAAAGACAAGAAAGAATCTTAAAGGTTGCGAGAGAGAGAGAGAGAGAGAGAGAGAGAGAGAGAGAGAGAGAGAGAGAAAGTTACCTACAAGGGATCTCCCATTAGCTGATTTCTCATCAGAAACACTTCAAGCCAGAAGGGAGTGGCATGAAGTATACAAAGTGATGAAAAACAAGGGACTAAATCCAAGACTACTCTATCCAACAAGGCTAGCATTCAAAATTGAAGTTGAAGTCAAGAGCTTTGCAGACAAAAAAAGGCAAATGGAAGTGTAAAAAAGCTGGGGTAGTAATACTCATAGCTGGAAAAATTGTCTTCAAAGTGAAGGCCATAACAAGAGATAATGAAGCCCACTTCATAATACCAAAGGGGTCAATGCAACAAAAGGATATGACTTTGGTAAACATATATGCACTCAATACAGGAGCATCCAAATACATAAAAAAACTTCTGGAAGATATCAGGGGAGAGATCGACAGCAATACCATCATCATAGGGGTCTTTACTACCCCATTGACATCACTGGCTAGATCTTCTAGACCAGTGGTCAGCAAACTCATTAGTCAGCAGAGTCAAATATCAACAGTACAATGATTGAAATTTCTTTTGAGAGCCAAATTTTTTTTAACTTAAACTATATAGGTAGGTACATTGTTATTAACTTAATTAGGGTACTCCTAAGGCTTAGGAAGAGCCACACTCAAGGGGCCAAAGAGCTGCATGTGGCTCGCAAATGACAGTTTGCCGACCACAGTTCTAGACAAAAAATAAATAAGGAAACAGTGATCCTAAACAACACACTAGATCAGAAGGAATTAATTGATATTTTCAGAACATTTCACCTCAAAACTACAGAATATACATTCTCAAGTGCACATGGGACATTTTCAAAGAAAG